ACTCGTTGTTGAAGTTACTGTTTGACAAAATGACAAAATCATGTTTTCTTTTTATAGTAGGAAAACCTGAAACGTGGGAAGATGACCGTAAAGCGGTCTTAGTTTAACTGCCTGTATGGATTAATTTATTTGATTATTCCACAACTGTCTGTATCTCCAAAGTAACACCCTCCCTCCCTCCTTTCTGTGTGTAGGATCAACCAATGGGAGGCTGGGAGATGATCAGAAAAATTGGAGACACATCAGTCAGTTACAAATATACCTCAAGATATGTGCTGAAGGCAGGCCAGACTGTTACAGTAAGTGAATCTAGTTATCATTTAATTTAACTTCATTGTGTTAACAAAGTAACTCAAAAAGTTTTTTGGCTAAAAGAGAAACATTTTAGAAATGGCCATTAAAGCACTTTTTATATTATTAGGTCATTACAAGTGCTATAAAAGATTTTTAAAATTCTGTCTTACTGAGAGTAGTGAAGAATTGACCTTTGAATTATTTTTATCTTGTCTGTTCCAGGAGATATAAAAGCTATCTCTTGACTGATAGTTGTAGCCCAGTGTCATTCAGGAGACACTGCTTGGCATAAAGAACTGTTAAGAATCTAGCATTAACGTATGTCTATAACAGCAATCTCCAGCCTTGGGTGAGCTTCAAAATCATCTGGGTAGTATTTTGGTGTTCAGGCCCTACTTCACCCTTAGCTATCTTTGGGGTTGGGGTAGGAACGTAGGTTTTGAATAAAAGTCCTTAGATTATAGGCACCCTTGTAAATTATCACTAAGTGGCATTCTGAGTCTTGATTTCTAATTGGTGTGTTCTGAAATACTGCATCCTTAATAGTTACTGAAATGTTAATTAGCTTACTTTTTAGAGAAGTATGTTTCATTGAGTAAACAAAAGATTCTTTTGCTTTTACTTAGTAGATAGATTTAGCTAATGATAAAATATGTTAACTTTGATATAGATTTCAAAGAAGTCACTCTTTTCGTCCTAAAAGAATGTAGAGGTGACTGTCTCTTTCTTTTTATATATTCTTCTTTAAAAAATATTAAACATGTGTTTTAAATGTGTTTAAAATTTTATGTTGATACATACCTTACTATTGACGATCAAAGGCTCAGACTTCTCTTTCAAAAGGTATGTTCGGAGAGCATGATGCCACTTTGTGAAAATATCAGATGCTAATTTGTTAATAATGGGTAAAAATAGGATCAACTATCCTAACTACAATATCCTTTCATCTCTTTAGTAATCACTATAGTGAGAGAAAATTGCTCAGTCCTATTATATGTCTTACAGAAGTTGTATACTGTGGTAAAAAGAATCTGACATTTTAGTTCAGAGGATTCAGAATTGAGTGTGCTCTCTATCTCAAAAGTAATAATATGGAAGCCTTATGCCAATCATCTACTTTTTCTACTGGGTATACTACCTCAGGGACTAAATACATGGATTCTAGAGGTCTAGTGGAGAACTCAATTATCATATAAAATAATGTGATACTTTTTTTCTTCAGCAACTGGTATTAAATGTGATAAGCAGCTCTTTGGAACATGGTAGTGCTAAGTGGTCGTTCTGTAAAATTGCAGAGGCAAAAGCAAAGATCAGTTTAAAATTCTAGAATAGAAATATGAGAACCACATGTGTAATTTTAAATTTTCTTATAGCCACATTATAGTAAAGACATGAATTTTAGAACTATATTTTATTAAACCCAATATATCCAAAATATTGCTTTAACATGTAATCAGTCTAAAAAGTCAGATATTTTTACGTTCTTTTTTTTTTAAATTTAGCTAAGTCTTCAAAATCTTCTGTGTGTTTTACCCTTACAACACATTCATTCCAGGCTAGCCACATTTTAAGTGCTAACAAGCCACATTTTGCTGCCGTATTAAATGACATGGCTATAGGACATACTAGTTTTAGGTTAAATTAGCCAGCAAGGATATTGACATTTTATGATGATGATTATTAACATAAACCAACTATTTGATTACATATAGGCTAGTGAGAAATAATGCTTACAAGTAGGAAAACACTAACATTCCACATCATCTAAATGTTGGACCAGATTCAGTTCTTTTTTTCAGTTTCATCCCAGTTAATATCTTGTGCCCCTGTCCATTTGTAATGCTGGTGAAAGATCTGGATTCTTCAGGTGAACATCTTAAGAAGTAAGGGCTGTCTCCTAATCAGTAATTCGTAGATTTTTCTCCTGTTACCACCCCCACTCCCCACCCTTTCTTTTTTTTGATAGAGACAGGGTATCACCATGTTGCCCAGGCTGGTTTTAAACTCCTTTGTTCTAGTCATCTGCCTGCCTCGGCCTCCCAAAGTGCTGGGATTACAGGCTGGAGCCACTACACCTGGCCCCCATTGAAATATACTTGTCTTTGCCATCTTCAGCTTTCCTTTTGCAGTCATAAAGTCTTTTATGTTATATAACAATGTATGAATTACAAACTTTTCTGTTTCTGTTTGTTTTTAAATGCTCTTTCTAAAAGATCAGGGCTAGTAGTATCCCTGTAGCTAGAGGCATTGAGCTTCCTAGAGGTGTAGTGATTTGTCCATAATTCAAACCTAGGCTTTCTGACTGCCAGGTGCTCTTTACTGTATCCATTCTTTTTTGCCAGTAGATATATAAAAAGAATTTTCATGCTCACGAGAAGGAGAATATAATTTCTTTGTTTGGCCTATTTCAACAGCAATTATATTTTCCCTTGAACAGCGAGTGATTTATCCATTTCCAGCATTCTTTTTGGAGTGCAGTCTCAGATACTCTAGGGTATTGTGACACTGTCTCTGTTTGGAGATGTACCAGTTTCCATAAGATTATTCTAGATGGGCTGTCTGCTGCAGAAGGTCTCTTTATTTCTTGCTGTAGGCAGCCAGAGAACATTATTAGAGGGAGTCACAGAAGGCTGTCTAACGTGGAAGGATGGCCCATAAAACCCACAGAGTAATAGAATGCTGAGGCTACCATTCACTGAGTTAGCCAGCCACTGAGTGTGGGTTATCACTTGGTCTTTTCAATAATTCCACCTGTTACAGGTGCCATTTCTGCCCTGTTTTATGGATGACTAAAGGAAGGTAACTTGCTCAGGGTCAGCTGGTGTGTAAAGGAACTAGGATGTGAGTGTAGGCAGTTTTACTTCAGGGCCTTATGTATCATCGTCTTCACTTATCAGATGGGGAAGCTGAGGCCTTGAGAAACTCTGTGAGTTCTGGCCACATAGCTATGTATAGCACTCTGTAGCGGGGGCATAGTTCTCAGACTTTTAGAGTCAAGTGTTTGAGTCTCATTGCATTGCTGTCATTGGCATGTGGGAGAGCTGGGTTCTGGGTGTGCTGATATCCTTTGATTTTTACAGATTTGGGCTGCAAACGCTGGTGTCACAGCCAGCCCCCCGACTGACCTCATCTGGAAGAACCAGAACTCATGGGGCACTGGCGAAGATGTGAAGGTTATACTGAAAAATTCTCAGGGAGAGGTATGACCAGTTTATCAGGACCACCACAATGTTAATTTCACTTGAAAGTTCACTGTGCAAGTATAATCAAGATCAGATTGAAACGTGCATCAACTGATTGCATAAACAGACCAAAGCTGCTAAGTAAATTGAACTGAAGCTGTCTTTAAATTTTAGGAATAAATAGGAGTGTATTATAGAGTACGGATTATTAGCACAAGCTCCAGAACAGATTGTCTGTGTCCAGTTTCTGTTTTCACTGCACATTAGCTTTCTGACTTTGGGCAAGTTACTTCGCCTCTCTTAGATTTCTCATTTAAAAGTGGATATTAATGACACAATATCAATGAGCTAATAATAAGAATGAGACAGTACTTGGGAAATGCTTGGAATAGTGTCTGGCATAGTACATTTATCTAGTAAATGCTTACATTATTAATCTTGTTACTAGCTCTCAGAATGTTCATGAAACTGTGAGTTTGAAGACTGTGGAATGTACATCTGCTTGGAGTGTGTGTTTTCAGTGTGTCAGTCTTAGAATCCTTGTCAAAGTACCTTACCTTCCCCACTGCCATGTAAAGACACTGCATATACCCCTACCAATAGTAGTCTAAAGCAGCTAAAGTGTGCTTTGAAGCTAGTAAAACATGGCTTCCTCCTTGTCTTTCCCTAGTGAATCACCTTATCCAGGTGCTGTACAAAGCATCACTGAGCCTCTGTTTAGAATTTGTTGCGATTGCCATAAACAAGTTAATGGAGCTTGTGTTGTGAGTTCAGGATGGTTTGTACTTCTCATTTTCCTTTTAGTTGTAATACTGCTTTTTCATCTTGCCTACCATGAGAGCTGTAAGTTGCCTTGCAAGGGAGCCATTGGTCATAACCTTGTTCTGACATGCTTACTGGTTCTGACCTTTTCACCCAGTTTCCAGGCTGGTAGGCGCTGCTGTTTTGTACCTTACAACCTGACTGGGTATGCATTTCAGTCTGAGTGGTGCTGAAAGGAGATATGTAGTGGGAATGTTAGGCTGGCAAACCTGGTACGGAAGCTAAGCATATTTACAAGTGCAGGGTTATTCATTTATTTGGAAAATCCTGAGTGTGTGCTATATGCCAGCCACTTTGTGTTAGGAATAAGCAGGAAAAAAGCCACACGTGGTTTCTGGCATCATGGAGCCCACATTCTAAAGAGAGTAAGGGAGCCAGGGAATAAGATAAAGTGACTTTCTGATAAATGTAACAAAGATAAACTGTGGTATCAGGCCCGGTACGGTGGCTCATGCCTGTATTCCCAGCACTTTGGGAGGCCGAAGGTGGGTGGATCACCTGAGGTCAGGAGTTAGACACCAACCTGGCCAACTTGGTGAAACCCCGTCTCTACTAAAAACACAAGAATTAGCCAGGCACGGTGGAGCGTGCCTATAGTCCAGGCTACTCAGGAGGCTGAGGCAGGAGAATTGCTTAAACCCAGGAGGCTCAGGTTGTGACGAGCTGAGATTGCGCCACTGCACTCCAGCCTGGGCAACAGAGCAAGACTGTCTCAAATAAATAAAGTAAATTACAGGACTTGCTGAATAAAGTTCCTCAGAAGAGGGTCCAGAATTGAGCCCTAGAAAATAGTGACATTAGGAATAAGAGCAAAGGAGGTAGTAGATGAAGTCAGTGAAGTCAGAGGAAAATGGTATGTGATGTCAGGAAAACCAAGGGAGGAAAGTGTCTGCGAAAGATGGAGTGGTCAGTGGGTCAAATCACAGCGTCCCCTTAGGGGTTTTTTGTCTGCTCCCATAGTGCACAGGTGGGCCTCTAACCTGCGTGGTGCTCATCACATTGTTCTCGCTCACTGCAGGAAGCACACTGAGGGCAAGGGCCTGTTCTGGTACATCCTGGCATCATGCCTGGCACATAACAGGAATTCAGGAAGCATTTACTGGATGCATTTTTTAAAAAAAAATCAGACATGGACCATGACTTACGTTCCGAGAAATAAAGCAATAGCAGCATTCATTATAGGAGTCTGAGATGCCTGCATAAAAAGTTCTGTTCATGGCCATCTTCCCGTCTATGCCTTACTGTAAACATGTCTCTTGCGAAACATTGTTAAGAGTAGTAATTTGCTTAGATAAGACTGAAAAGCACTGTTATAAGGGGTACATGGCAGATTAAATGAACTTTCATGACCCATGGAATCTAGTCATTATTTCTTTCTTTTTTTTTTTTTTTCCTGTGTAAAAGTGTGTTCCAAGTTAGAGACAATGTTATAGGAGGGTATTTGGAATAGAGCAATAGGATTAAATGCCCCAAAAAATAGATACAGTGACATGAACCAAGTACCAGATATTATGACATGAGATGCATCTTCAGACAGTATTACTAGTATTACTGATGACATATTAGTAAAGCTAACTGAAGCTTAGTTCCACTTCATAACTCAAACATTGAATATTAGATTATTTGATTGGTTGCTTGGTCCATTCTTTTTTTTTTTGAGAAGGAGTCTCACTCTGTTGCCCAGGCTGGAGTGCAGTGGTGTGATCTCGACTCACTGCAACCTCCGCCTCCCAGGTTCAAGTGATTCTCCTACCTCAGCCTCCTGAGTAGCTGGGACTACAGGCACGCACCACCACGCCTGGCTAATTTTTGTGTTTTTAGTAGAGACGGGGTTTCACCATCTTGGTCAGGACGGTCTCAATCTCTTGACTTTGTGATCTACCTGCCTTGGCCTCCCAAAGTGCTGGGATTACAGGCGTGAGCCACTGCGCCCGGCCAAGGTTGGTCCATTCTTTTAACAAACTTCTACTACCTTTGGCTTGCGAGGCTCTGTTTTAAGTGAGTTCTGTCAGAATTGAGGAGAGAAAGTATTATGAATATAGGTCTTATTTCATTAGACATTATTCATTTAATTCAGTAAGACCATATTTGTCAGTAGGGACCAGACCACATTAGCAACAATCTATAAACAATCCCCGCCATAAAGACTAGTTTGCAGTAAGATTGTTGGTAACTGGCTTAGTCAGTTTTGTTTTTTATGTATTTTTTCCTCTTGCTGGGGCATTGGAAATATCAGAAAACCCAATTAAACTGGCTTAGAAATAATGGGAATTTTTGGGGCTCACATAATAAAAAATTTAAATAGTGGACCTGATCCAGTGGCTCACAGCGTGTCCCCGGGGATCTGTCTGTTGTCTCTCTTCTGTTTGCCTCCCTTGGGGACGCAGGATAGCTGCCAGCTGCTCCCAGAGGTACGTCTTTTCTATTTGCTTTTTGTGGGAAGGTGCTGTTTCAAAAAAATGGTCTTTATGGTGGAGTTTACAGATTGTTGCTAATGTGGTCCGGTACTACTGACAGATAAACATGGTCTTACCCAATTAAATGAATCCATACCAAAAGTGACTGTCTAATGAAATAAGACCTGTATTCATACCACTTTCTCTCCTCGTTCCTGACAGAACTCTCAGAACAGCCTAGCAAGCAGAAGGCAGTAGAAGTTTGTTAAAAGAATGGGCAATCCAGCCCACCAAATAATCTAATATTGAGTGCTTGGATTATGGAGGGAAGCTAAACTTCATCCCCTGTGAGGCACCCATCCTGGGCTTCACTCACACTGGACTAGGGTGGGTCACGTGCCTGCCTGTAAACCAGTTTCTGGAGTTGGGAGGGTGGAGTTAGAGCTGAAGCCTTCTTCCTCCCCTTTACAGCCACATCGCACTGGGCTGCTTGTAACACACGTGTGCTCCATGGGGGGCGTGCACCCAGAAAAACCGAGGGGCTCTTACCCAAGAGGGAGGGGGCACTGGGTGGTTAAAAACAGCAGATGTCACCATGGCAAAAAAAGAAAAGATGTTTTTTATGAGAGAAATAAAAAGTTAAGCAGTCCTTCCAAACTTTCCAGAATATAGATATAATGGAAACTTTTGTATATGCAAATGATTACTTATATATGCAGGGATGTAATATATAAAATATAAAAATCATCTTTCATCCACATAAGATCGCCCTGATTTGTAGCATTTCCTGATTTCTGTCGTGTAAATACTCCTACCATGGCTGATGCCAGGCTTCTAGCATTATATGACTGAGCACAGAGCTGTGCAGGGATGAGCAGCATCAGCAGGTGCAGCTGGCTCCGGGCACCACTGCACAGATCAGTGCACCTTCAGGTGCCCAAGGCTCTGAGCAGGGGCAGACCAATGCTACGTTTTATAGAGAGAGTAAAGCCTGTCATGTAAGACCATTTATGTGGACTTTTCAGGACACGTGGGGTAAACACATTTATTTAGTAACATCTTGACTAATAACAATTTTCTTGGTCTAAACCTCCCAATAGCTTTTTGGTTCTAAATTATTATTATTTTTCCACCTAGATTTTTAGACATTAGCTCACGCATTTTTTATACAGACTTTCTGTATTAGATTAGTTGGTTTTTGCATGTTTTCAAATGAAAAGTGCTTAATAGTAGAGTTACACTTAAAGTAGTTATGTTAAGGTAATTCATAATAATGAAGATGGGCAAGTTGCTGTTTTTTGAGCTTCTCATTGAGGCTAATAGTCTTAAGTTACATCATGAGCCTTAAGAGCCAGTGTTTGCATATGGGATGTATACCACAAGCTTCTAGAAGCTGGAATGTGGTAATTTTGTTATAGAAGATTTTATTTGACTCGTTCCTCATTTTAAGATGAGTTGAGAAAAGCTGGGTACTCTCAAAGTTTTTTAAGAATTTATTTTCTGCTTTATATGCTGCTGTCTCCTAGTTGATATCTTGAATGGTGGTTGATCTAGGGAATCACATTTGTTTTTTATTACTAATTTGGTTAAAACACTGATATTTTTGAAATGGCTATTTCTGTTTGTAAAGATAGACCAGTTTCACAGAATTGAACTTACTGGCTAATTGAGAGACTCAGAATGGTCCATCTTCCTTGGTCCTGCAAGAGTAATAAAAAATCCACAAAATACTACTCTGCTACCTTACTTTATTTACAAAACACATTCTTGGGCATATTTCAAATCGAAGTCTCATTTCTGTGACACTGGGTTTTGGTTTTCTTTCTCTGCCATTGTAAACTAGCTGGTCTGTGTTAGATAAGCTTTTACTGAAGTAATATTGTGTCTTCCCCTGTAGCATTCTCTTTCTTGAGTGACCTTAGGACATGGGACAGAATAAAATTATATGCTCTGCAGCACTCTTGAGGACACACTCATTTACTTGCTGCCAGATCGTCAGGTTAGCCTTGTACTTAAGCAAAAACACTGCTGCATTTGTGCCAAGTCAGCATTTTCCACAGGAACGTAATCTGTATTTGACCTTTTTAGTAGAAAATGGAAATAATTGCTTTCTGTCATACCTTTAGTGAATGATAGGAGACCTATTTCTGTACAGAATACATTGGAACCTCACTAGTCCGTTACTGGTAAATAGTGTACAGTGTTCATCTGTCTTGATTTTGTTTCATTCAAGAGGTGTCAGTTGCTGAAAGGAATGAAAGGAGCTTGTCCTTTCTTCTCACTCATCAGGTGGTCCTGTTGCTGATGGTCCCTGAGATCACAGTTGGCTTCCAGCTTCTCCTAGTTGATATCTTGAATGGTGGTTGATCTAAGGAATCACATTTCTTTTTATTACTAATTTGGTTAAAACACTAATATTTGTGAAATGGCTATTTCTGTTTGTAAAGATAGACCAGTGTCACAGAATTGAAGTTATTGGCTAATTGAGAGACTCAGAATGGTCCATCTTCCTTGGTCAGCATTTATTTAGCACCTTCTCTTTGCCAGGATCTAAAATCTTTAAGCTGAATTAATGTTGAGTTGTATAAAGAATTTAGTATGTCAAATAATTTGTAGAATTCTTAGTAACAGAATAGTATAAAAAGCAGTGAAAACTTCTCAGCAGGTATTTCAAATTGGATGACACTTCCTCCCCTGTAGGAAATATGGAAGGTATAAGAACTGCTGCTAGTTATGCAGAAATTTCAGTTCATTAACCAGAAAGTTACTGATATACTGCTCCCCCGACCCCACCCCTTTAAAAATAATAAACAGGGGCTGAGTGTGGAGGCTCATGCCTGTAATCCCAGCACTTTGGGAGGCTGAGGTGGGTGGATCACTTGAGGCCAGGAGTTCAAGACCAGCCTGGCCAATGTGGCAAAACCCTATCTCTACTAAAAATACATAAAAATTAGCTGCACGTGGTGGTGCATGCCTGTAATCTCAGCCACTGGGGTGGCTGAGGCATGAGAATCGCTTCAACCTGGGAAGTGAAGGTTTCAATGAGCCGAGGTCATGCCATTGCACTCCAGCCTGGGTGACAGAGTGACTCTATCTCCAAAAAAAGGGATGAATAATAGTAATAATAATAAACAGAAATGCTGTCTCTTTTTGTTTTCTTTTTTGAGACAGTCTTGCTGCAACGCCCAGGCTGGAGTGCAGTGGCGCGATCTCAGCTCACTGCAATCTCTGCCTTCTGGATTCAAGCCATTCTTCTGCCGCAACCTCCTGAGTAGCTGGGATTACAGGCACGTGCCATCATGCCCGGTTAATTTTTGTATTTTTACTAGAGACAGGGTTTCACCATGTTGGCCAGGCTGGTCTCAAACTCCTGACCTCGGGTGATCTGCCCGCCTCGGCCTCCCAAAGTGCTGGGATTACAGGTGTGAGCCACTGTGCCTGGCAAGAAATGCTGTCTCTTAAGCAAAGAAAAGGTCCCTCTCCCCCGCACTTGGTGATTCTAAGTGTGTTTTTTAACTTAAAAGTAAACTACTATTGTTTTTAGGAGGTTGCTCAAAGAAGTACAGTCTTTAAAACAACCATACCTGAAGAAGAGGAGGAGGAGGAAGAAGCAGCTGGAGTGGTTGTTGAGGAAGAACTTTTCCACCAGCAGGTATTACTTTATTTATTTAATATATTTATTTTAAATTTTATTAACAGAATTGCATGAAGACCAAGAGTGTGGTTGGGTTTTTCCCCTATCAGTTGATGAACCAGAGCAGTTATCTACCAAGTGGGGTTTGTATTCCCCAAAGGGATATTCAAGGTGATACTTTAGGGTACTGGAAGAATATGTTGACACTTTTATTTTTATTTTTTCTCATACTACCAAATTTCAGTTTTGTCTTTTGTTTTCTCATGTGCATTATGTGTTATAGTAAAACATGTCTATGGATTGGATGTTTTGCCCCCAAACTTGTTTACTCTGTGGGGTTCTATGATTAAAAAGTTCAGATCACTAATTTAGAGCAAGCATCTGCATATAAACTTTAAAAAAACAAAGGAATATTCAACTTCAGTGTGAAACACAATTCTTGCTCTATTAAGTTCCTAATCATTGTCTAATTGCAAGATAGATTTTAGCTGATGGTTGGGCTTTTGAGAGCCCTTGAAAAAAGAAACTCCAAACTTGGTTTTAATTGTAATTAAATTGGAATTATTAATAACTAATGAGCCTTCAGTTTATATTCTCAAGCTGTTTGAGTCTGATCATTAATCAAAGTGTCTACCCTTATCCTGAGAAGACTTTGTCTCCATGGCTCCAGATTTTTAGTCTTAAGTCTGCTTTGCTTCATTAGCCTTAGTCCTGATCTAAATAAACACTGTCTCATGTATTTAATCCCCAGGGTTGAGAACCACTTGAGGTGGGTTGCATGAAGTAGCATGAATTTTTTACCTGGATGCCTTCTCGTACATTTAGGAGGAATATTTTAAAACACATACATTACACTTAGCTTACAAGAAACAAGCACAAGTTCCATTTTCTGTGCTTAAATAGGAAACATCGTAATTACTAGAAGTAAAATAATTATGTAAGAGATAACTCACAGCGTCAGACAAGTGGCTCAGCATGAGTTATAGCATGTCAGATGCTAGAGGAGGTACTCCAGGCCAGCAGAGTAGTTGAGAAGAACTCTGGGAGGTGATGCTTGTCCACTAATTGAAGGATGGGTAATTATTTGAGTATTGGAGAGAAGGCAGATGATGGTGTTGTGAGGATGTTGGAATTATCTGTTGCTTCATTAACAGACCACCCTAAAGCTTAGTGGCTTGAAACAGTTGATTTCTTACTTCCCATAATTCTGTGGTTTGACTGGGCTCAGCTGGGCAGTGTTTCTGTTCCACATGCTGCACACTGAACTCAATCAAGCAGGCTGCGTTCAGCTCAGAGGTTGACCTGGGCTGGAATATCTTTTAGGTCTCTTTCTGTGTGGATTTCTA